CMGCCCTCGYACCAGCCTGGGAGCTGGGTGTAGGCTTCCCCAGTTGGGGAAATGAAGGCCGGAAGGACGGCAGGCCTGCCCACGGTCACACGGCCTGGCCTGCAAGAGCAGGGACTGAGGTCCAGGACATGGGCCACTTATCTCAGCAGCAGCTTCCAGCCATAGAAGGAAGCAGAAGGCCCCGGTGGGTGGACCCAGGAGAGCGCCTGCAGCCGGAGCAGGGAGGGTGGGGTAGGCAAAGGCAGCAGGGGCCTCTCACCTGGCCCACCGAGAAAACCTGGGACCCCCTCACTGTTCCACATCAAAGGAAGTTGTCCCCAGGAGTGACCCAGAGTGACGAGCCAGCTGACGAGGGCCAGGAGCCCTGGAGTGTGTCCCACTTCCACTCTTGTCCAAACTTGTTCTATTTCTGGCCCAGTTAATAAAAGCGTTCATCCCTGGGCTGGGCAGGGTTCAGATTCAGTGAGTTGGTGGGACTTGTATGACTCTGTGACATGACAAGCAGAAGGCCAGAGATCCGTACCAGGGCTGGGTGGTGTCCCCTCTCGAGGCCGCAGTGCCCTCGTTTGTGGRATGGGATAAGTGCCTGCCATAGGGCTGCCTCTCGGATCATGTAAATGAGATGAAGGAGCTCAGCACAGCGTCGCACCGGGGCCCTGTCATTGAGGGTGCTTGCCCTGACTCCAGATGGCTTCTAGGGAAGAGTCTGGACTTGAAAGCTAGGTCTTGTGTTGTTTTTTTTTTTTTTTTTTTTTTGTACCAGGGGTTGAACTCAGGGGCACTTGACCACTGAGCCACATCCCCAGCCCTATTTTATATTTTATTTAGAGACAGGGTCTCACTGAGTTGCTTAGCACCTGGCTGGCTGAATTGCTGGGGCTGACTTTGAACTCGAGATCCTCCACCTCCACTTCCACCTCCCTGGGATTATAGGGAAAGCCGGGTCTTAAGCCCTCCTTTCCGAGCCATTCCCTAGCTTCTGCCTGCAGGGCGCYGTGGGATGCCCTGGCTCCCTCCTGGCAGGTGCTGGTTGCCTCGGTTTCCTCCTCAGGAGCCCCAGCACACTCCCGAGCCGTCCCCTCCTCTCTGAYCAGTGCTCTTCCTTCCTTTGCCTCTTGCAGAGATTTTGATTCACTTTCCAAGGACAATGTCTTTGAGAATAACCGTTTGGTGAGTCCCTGGATGGATGGAAGCCTGTGGGGGGCCGCTGGGGGTGAGGGCAGGGGTCTTGCCGGGCGGCTGCCTTTGCATGTGGGGCACAGGTCCTAGAAAAGGCCGTGCCTGGCGTCAGCCCCCCAGGCCATCCCATGGGGTTGGGGTGGTCCTGGAGCCACATTGCCCTATCCTACTGTGGGGAGTTAGGCCTGGGTGAGGCATGTCCACTAACTGCCTCTTCGTTGCCTCTTCTGCCGTGGCTCTTCCTGCCCCTACCCCGCACCTGCCCCCACCCCAGGCCTTCGAAGTGGCTGAAAAGGAGCTGGGCATCCCTGCTCTCCTGGACCCGAATGACATGGTCTCCATGAGTGTCCCTGATTGTCTCAGCATCATGACCTATGTGTCCCAGTTCTACAACTACTTTGCCAGTCCTGGCCAAGGTGAGAGGGGACCTGCCTTTGGGAGGCTGGCGCTKCGAGGGCCTGTTCCTGTTTTCTGGTGTAGGCAGGCGACTGGGAGATGGCCACGGCTGTTCACTTAGTCATCAGTTCACACATTTGAATACTTATTGGGGGAAACATCGCTGTGCCAGGCCCGCTGCAGCTGTTGGGCGATTCCCGCTTCTAGTTTGCACAGCCCCACGGGGAGGTGATAACAAGCACAGAAACCAAAACCTGAACCTTTTGTCAGGAGTGCGAGCTCATCCGCTCTGAGAGTTCACCTCCCAGCCCTGACTTCCTGTCTGCAGATGCTTCCCGGTCTTTCTCCTCTAGCAAGACAGTGGCCCTGTCCTGTCGGGCTGTGTGCCGTGTCCTCCACGGAGATGACTTCTAAGGCTGAGAACTGAGAACCTGGGAACTGGGCTGGGGGTGATGAGGCTGCCCCTCTGCTCCAAGCCAGGTGGCTGGGTGTCCTGGGACAGCTGGGCCTCCCCATCTGCAGAGAGGAAGTGGCCCAGAGAGGGGGAGCAGTGCTCAGGAACACAGCAGAAAAGCTCATCAGCTGGGAGGAGAATCCAGGAGCCCCAAATCCTACTTGGGGTCACTGCTGCCCATGGGTCCTCAGGGCCCCCACTTGGGTCCTGCCTCCTGCCTCTGTTCTCCATTATGGACAGACCCAGCCCATCTGTTAAAAAAGAAAAAAAAAAAGGAGTCAGTGGTTTTATTTTTTTACTAAAAGTAAACATGTTTACTCTAGAAAATTTAGAACAAAGAAAAAGCATAAAAATTAAAAGAATTTGTTATTTGCTTCCCCCATGAACACCAGGGTTGATGTCATAGTGCACAAACTGCACTGTGCATTTTAATAGAAGTCAGAGTGAAAAGACAAGAGTTCTGGGCGTCCTTAGGTTCTGCACCTGCAGGGTCAACAAACCTCCCGCCAAAATTATTCAAGGGGCTGGGGATGCACTCAGTGGTAGACCATTTGCCTAGCATGCTGGAGGCCCTGGGTTCCATCCCTAGCACTGTAAAGAAAAACAGAACAAAACAAAAAGTTTCGTCTGTATTGAGCAACTACAGAGTTTTTTCAGATCATCTTTCCTAAAAAATACTGTAGGCCAAGCAGGTGAGGTGGTGCAATCCTGTAGTCCCATTTACTTTGGAGGCTGAGGCAGGAGGATAGCAAGTTCAAGGCCAGCCTCAGCAATTTAGCAAGGCCCTAAGCAATTTAAGGAGACTATCGGGAATAGAGTGCCCTTGAGTTCAATCCTAGTACCACAAACAAACAGAGGAAAAAAAAAAACAGTAGGACAGCTTTTTACATGACATTTACATTGTGTTACATATTAAAAATAATCTGTAGATGATTTAAAGTCTGCAGTATGATATTAAAAAAATGTACATGCGTGGGCTGGGGTTGTGACTCAGTAGTAGAGCACTTGCCTAGCACGTGTGGGGCACTGGGTTCGATCCTCAGCACCACATAAAAATAAAATGAAGATATTGTGTCCATCTACAACTAAAAAATAAATATTAAAAAATGTACACAGGAGGAGGTACATAGGTTATATGTAAATCATCATTTTATTTAATTTGTTTATTTAAAAAATACTTTTGGTATCGGGGATTGAACCCAGGGGTGCCTTACCACTGAGCTACATCCCTAGTAGCCAGGGTCTCCCTCAGTTAATTGCTTAGGGCCTCACTAAGTTGCTGAGGCTGATCTTGAACTTGAGATCCTCCTGCTTGGATTACAGGTGTGAGAACCCCTGCACCCACTCCGTCACCATTTTAGATATGGGAATTTTGGCATCTGCACCCAAAACTACTGCACTTCTAGGCACCACAGTCTTCGGTGAGGCAGTCTGGCTGGGGTGGAGATTCAGAGCGTGGACTCAGGAGGTCCCCTCTGGGTGGCAGCGATTTCACCTCCCTTTCTCAGCCTCTCCTCTTTATTAATGCTACAGGGATTGAACCTGGGGTGCTCAACCACCGAGCCACGTCCCCAGTCCTTTTTTAGTTTTTTATTTAGAGACAGGGTCCTGCTAAGTTGCTTAGGAACTCACTAAATTGCTGAGGCTGGTTTTGAACTTGTTCTCTTCCTGTCTCAGCCCCCCTGAGTTGCTGGGRTTACCGGTGTGTGCCACTGTGCCCCGCATCAGTTTCCCCTTGGCAGTGGGATAATAGTGCCCATCTAGCCAGGCACAGTGGTGCTCATCTGTGATCCCAGTTACTCCGGAAGCTGAGGCAGGAGAATGGTGAGTTTAAGGTCAGCCTCAGCAACTTGCTGAGACCCTGTCTCAAAATATAAAATAAAAAGGGCTGAGGATGCAGCTTAGTGGTTGGCTATTTAGCCCTGGGTTCAACCCCCCAATACTACCAAAAAAAAAAAAACAACAAAAAACAAAAAACCTTAAAAACTAGATTATTGATGGTCCTTGATTTAGGATGATTCAACTTGATTTTTCAATTTTTCTGTGGTATGAAAGCAATATGCATTCTGTAGAAACTGTTTTCCTAGTTTTGAATTTTGCCCTTTTTCTGAGCCAGGAACAGCTGATACTCTACAGTGTGTTGTGTTGCTAAGCTGTGATGTCCCGGAGGTTGGGGTAATAAATGAATTTCTGACTTAGGAAATTTCCAAGGTGTGATGTGTTTATCAGGGCACAAACCCCATTTTAAGCGTGGGAGAACTTGTGCCCCTTTATTCTGCTGATCCCTGTTTCTCTTGCTTAATGATCAGGATTTATGAATGGACTGTGACCTGAATCTCAACTTACCTCCCAGTTTCCTTGTACTAAGTTCTTCCTGGCAGACCCCTCCTGGGGGACCTGCAGGGTGGGTGTGCCCTGGTGGGCTCTCTGTTTCCCTGCGGGGGTTCTCGTTGAGAAGGGTACAACTGGTACCTCTAAATAAGACCATTTTTATCCCATCTGTTGCTCCAGCAGAGGAAACAGCGATGCGTTCCAACCCCGGAGGCAAAGCTGGCTGGTGGCTCCCCAGATCTCCTGTGCTGAGCTTTCTGGGCCAGGGAAGGGGTTTCAGGGGTGATTTTTGGCCAGACTGACTTTCAGTGAACTTGGTAGCTTTGGATCCGCACTGTGTTTAGCTTGTGTGGGGGGCTTGAGGGTGCCAGTGACCTTGGGCACATCAGGTGACCCCTCCTGGCCAGGGAGTCGGGGCTTGAGTGTAGGAAGCCCCGCAGTCATGGGAATCCGCAGGGGGCACCTGTCCACAGGGTGCAGGGCAAGTGTCCTCAGGAGGAGGCCCAGAAGCCCCGTGTGGCTTCCTGGGCCTCTGTCCCTGGGCTTGACTGCTCCCTGCCCCAGCTGCAGTCCTGTTGGGTWTCTTGCGCATCTTTGATTGTCACGTCCTGTCCCTGCTGAGCGGCTCCTTGCTGGTCTGCCCCTGCCTCCCTCCTGGTGGGCTCCCTCCTGCCCAACCTCCTGTCTCCAGTTTTGCCTTCTCCAGGTGGACATTCCTGCTGCCCACCTCATGGTAGGGTACAGATTCTTCAGAGCCGGAGTGGAGCCAGGGCCTCGTGCACACTAAGTGCAGGCTCCACCACTGAGCCCYGCCCCGGTCCCCAAGAGCTGCCTTACCCCCTTCTTTCTCCTGTGGACCATCTTTGTCTTGTTCATGGCTGTGCAGCCCCAGCACCTGGCACTTTCCCACACATTTAAGCAAATATTTGTTGAGTCCCTACTATGTGCCAGGCCTGTGACAGCTGCTGGGGAGACCACTAAGAGGGTTCAGGCTCAGGACTTACATTCTAATGAGGAGGGCGAAAGGGAGAATAGATCAGTAAGTGTATCATTTCAAGGAATAAATAAGGAGCAGGATGAAGAGCAATGGGGGAAACGGGGTGCAGGGGCGCACGCTTGTAATTCCAGATACTGGAGAGGCTGAGGCTGGAGGATCAAAATTTAAGGCCAGCCTGGACAAGTAAGCGAGTCTCTATCTCAAAACAACAACAAAACAAAACAAAATTWAAAAAAGTGGGGGACTGGGGCTGTAGCTCAGTGGTCAAGCACTTGCCTAGCATCTGTGAGGCACTGGGTTTGATCCTCAGCACCACATACAAGTAAAATAAAGGTATCGTGTCCATGTACAATTAAAAAAGTATTTTAAAAAAGGGGGTGGCTGAGGATGTGGCTCAGTAGCTCAGTGACCCCTGGATTCAGTCCCTAGTACTGAAAAACAAGCAAACTAACAAAAAACAGTTTTGGGAGGCTGAGGCAGGAGAATTAATTGGAGCCTAGGAGTTCAAGGCCAGCTGGGTAATAYAGCAAGACCTCATCTCAAAAGAAGGAAAGAAAAAAAAAAAAGCTGGGTGCGGTGGCTCATGTCTGTAATCCCAGTGGCTCCGGAGGCTGAGGCAGGAGGATCACAAGTTCAAAGTCAGCCTCAGTAACTAAGAAGGTCCTAAGCAACTTAATGAGACCCAGTCTCAAAATAGAAAATAAAAAGGGCTAGGGATGTGGCTCAGTGGTTAAAACCCCCTGGGTTCAATCCCAAAAGTAATAAGGGGAGGGAGTGGTATCTCAGATGGGCRGTCAGGGAGGGCCTGGTCTCTTAAAGGAGGAGGAGGCCCAGGTGGCCCTGTGAAAATCCTGGTGGGGGGAATGTTGCTGGCCGGGGTAGCAGGGGGCATGTGCTGCTGTGAGTGATGGGGAGGAGGTGGGGCAGGGTGCAGAGCAGGTCTTGGAGGGACTGGCTGAGGCTGCTGGGCTTCCAAACCTTTGAGGGTGACTCACAGTAAGGACGTTTCCTGGCACGCTCCCAGGCCACGCACACGTATGTAACTGAAACAAGTTTTAGGAAACAGTTCTTCCCCTTAGAACATGTGATGCACTTTACAATGTGCAGATATTTTCTGTTCTGTTCCGTCTTGTGAACGTGCTGGTGGACATCTCCTCAATGCTTTGAGATGTGTTCAGGGGCCTGACGTTTGGTCAGTGCATTGTAGATGATAAGGCCGTTGTGATTAGATTTGTAAAATATCATCAGTGGCCTTTTCTTGGGTACACAGTTCTGTGGACTTGGGGTTTGTTTTAATCCTGGGGTCCAGAGCAGGTGTTCATTTAACATGTGCTGTAGCAGGAAGGAGCTGGGTCCCAGGGAGCCTTGGGTGGGGGTTGTCCTCTCTGAGGGGCAGTGGGCARGGTTCTGAGCTGCATCTGCTCACCTGTGAGGTGAGCAGTGGCCACAGGAGAGGCAGCATCCCCAGCCACCAGGTTGGCACCAAAGGCATTTTGCTTTCCCCTCTTCCAACCCCTCGCTGGGCTGGGAAGGAAACTGCCCTCTTGCCGTGCGGCGTCCGTCGATAATTCTCTGATGGTCCGGTTGTCATATGGGCTGTGCGCAGTAGTCATTACTGTCCCCCTTTTACAGGGCTCAGTGAGGTTAGGTGGCCTGTCCTTAGCACATGACTTGCAAGTGAAGGTGCTCCTGGCCTGTGATGGGGGAGCCTTACAGGGTTGAAGGCTTGGAGCTGACCTCTTTGGGCAGGGCGGGGCCTCCAGCGGCTGCAGGATCCCCACCTGCCTCAGGCACCTTTCCTGTCTCTTGGCAGGTGGCATCTCACCCCCCAGGAAGGACCTGGCACCCTCCCCCCCACCCTCTACAACACCCACTGTGGCGGAACCAGGAGACAAGGGCCAGGTATGCAGATGCCTGGGTGTAGAGTGGGCTGGGGGACAACTGCAGTGACACATGCTCCAGAGAGAGCCAGGCCCAAGAGGGTCCCCAGGGAGGCTACGTGGGACTGAGACTAGCAAGGGTCATTCTATAGGTGGACCCAAGTCTCAGGCATGCTCAAGGTCGCAGTGCTGGGCAGGAGAGACATTGGGATTTAAACCTGCAGCTCTAGGAGGGAAGACGGGCAGATGAGGTGAATGAAGAGACAGCCTTCAAGGAGGGCCCCCCAGGGAAGGGGAGGCCGCGCCTTCACAGGGCACTGCTTTTCCTGGGGGCAGGAATCCTCAGAAACCAGAAGTCAGGTTTTCTGTTTCACCCTAGCTCAGTGACCTTGACAAATCTTCCCCCTTTCCGGGCTTTGGCTTCCTCATSTGGGGCACAGTGACAGGATCCCCTCACTGCCCTCCTAGGGTTCTGATCCTTGCCTGTTACCACCATGAAGCTCGGTGCACACTTTAGGGACAGTGGCCATGACAGGGAAGGAGAAGGGGCGTGTTCTGTTCTGAAAGGCATGGCTGGTGACTGTACCCATTCCCTGCAGGGCGAGGAGCTCCCYCCAGGCAGCCTGTCGGAGCAGGCCCCCCAGCGGGCCCCCAGCAGCACCTGTGCGGCCTGCCAGCAGCACGTGCATCTGGTGCAGCGGTACCTGGCAGAGGGCAGGCTGTACCATCGGCACTGCTTTCGGTGAGTGTAGGGGTCATGCACGTCCCTTGTCACCCTGGATTTATTTTGAGTTAGGTCTCACTAAGTTGCCCAGGCTGGCCTTGAACTTGGATCCTTCTGCCTCAGCTTCCTGAATCACTGGGATTACAGGTGCACATCACTGTGTCCGGCTGTGCCAGGCATCTTGATGGGCTCTGGGCTAGAGCGTCTGGCTTATTCCCATTTTACTGAGGAGCAAACTAAGGCTTAGTAATGGGAAAGACCTGCTCAGTCACATAATTAGATCAAAGTCTCGTGACCAACACGGTTGGAGCTCAGGGTTTCTGCTGCAGTGCCCTAGCTCTTCAGGAGAACCACTTGACTAACGAACAGCATAGACTTGAAAGCCATTGGGAAAAGAAAAAAGTTTTTATTTTATTTTATTTTTTAATATTTTTTTTTTAGTTCTTGGTGAACACAACATCTTTGTTGGTATGTGGTGCTGAGGATCGAACCCGGGCCGCACACATGCCAGGCGAGCGCACTACCGCTTGAGCCACATCCCCAGCCCCAGAAAAAAGTTTTTAAAAAAACCCCAATAACAACTTGCTTTAAGTTGGCTCTCTGGTGCAAGCCAGTTTTAAGGAAGTAGAATAAAACAAGCAAGGAAAATGCAAAAACTTAGTGAAAACCTTTTTTTTTTTTTTTTTAGTGCTGTCTTGGGGATGTACCTCAGGGCTTTGTACATGCTAGGCAAATGCTCCACCACTGAGCTGCACCCCCAGCCCCCAAACATTTTATGTTAGAAAAAAGAAACCGGAGGGGCTGGGGATATGGCTCAAGCAGTAGCGCGCTCGCCTGACATGCGTGCGGCCCGGGTTCCATCCTCAGCACCACATACAAACAAAGATGTTGTGTCCGCCGAAAACAAAACAAAACAAAACAACAACAACAACAACAACAAAAAAAAAAAACGGAAAGGAAAATTGAAAATATGTAGTCAAGGACAGCCATGCTTGGAATTCCAGCACATACTGGATCTGGTTTGGTGCCTGTACATATGAGTACAGCCCCAGGCCCAGGGAAACAGGCTACATCAATACAGTCACATCTGGTCACCTAGGCAGCATTTGAGAAACTCTTTACAGTGACTCTTAGTAAAACATGCTTTTGACATTGGTGACTTGGTGTAAATACCTGAAATGAAACTCTTGTCAATAGTCGCACACACAGAATAAGAGGCTCATAAAGCAGTGTTTATCCTTGCTTGCATTATTTACTGATATATTTTATTCTGCTTTATTAAAAACAAATAAACCTGAGACTGGGGGGTATAGCTTGGTGGCTGCACAATTATGAGGCCTTGGCTTTGATCCCCAGTACTGTGAGGGAAAAAGAAGGGAAAAAACAAACCAACCCACAATAAACAAACCTGGCTGGTTTAAAACCGCCCAGTTGATTCCCTGGGCCTAGTGGGTGGCAGCCCCCGGAGGTACTTCTGGGGCAAACCTTTGCTTCTTCCTCTTGCAGCACAAACTGAAAGTGTGTTTCACAAGTGCTTTGCTGATTGTGTTGTTCCCATGTGTCTCTGACAGTTACCGTTTTCTTTTTGATCTGGGAATACCCAAGTCTTGGGCTGGATGCACGGGGCAGTTGGTGAAGGGAGGAGGGAGCAGCCTGGGCCTCTGCAGTGCCTGGCGGAACCTGTCCTGTCCCCCTTGCAGGTGTCGGCGGTGCTCCAGCACCCTGCTGCCCGGGGCTTACCGGAGYGGACCTGAGGAGGGCACCTTTGTGTGTGCGGAGCGCTGTACCAGGCTAGGCCCAGGGGGGTGGCCAGGGACCAGGCCTGGACCCCCCTCACAGCCAAAGCAGCAGCAGCTCACAGAAGAAGCCAAGCATGGCGAGGGAGGCTGCCCCAGCCCGAGTGTGGCTGCAGGGCCTGAGGCCGATGGACCCAAGGCCAGCCCTGAGGCCCGGCCACAGATCCCCACCAAGCCCCCAGTTCCCGGCAAACCCCAGGAACTGGCCAGCCCCCCAGCCAGCCGGCCCACGCCTGCGCCCAGGAAGTCCTCTGAGAGCACAGCCTTGACGCCCCCCACGCCCCGGCCCCGGTCCAGCCTRCAGCAGGACAGCCCAGTGGAGCAGGGCGACAGCGGCCTCGTGAATGGTGAGCGTGGTGCAGCGGGCAGGGTGGCCCTTGTGTCTGGGCCTTGAGTGTCTGTGTGCACTTGGGAGCATCCGGGAGCCACTTTCTCCACTTGGGCCTGCRTACACTGTGTGTCCTGAGGTTGGTAATTCCCACAGCAAGTAGCCACYGCAAGCCCCTGAGCCAAGCTATTCCCGGAGCCAGTGCAGCTCTCATGGGCAGAGTAAGGCCCCGCCTCTCCCCTGCCCCGTCCTGCRTGTTGGTTGTCGGTCTTGTGTTCCAGGGTGTGTAGGAGTGTTTGCTGTGTGCGCCTGTGTGTCCTGAGTGTCCTGGGGACTTTGAGCTGGTATCACTCCCGTGCCCTGGGTAGTCCCGAGGCACGCTCCCAGGTGACCTCACGTGCTCAGCCTCTGCGTTTGGCCGAGCCTGGCCTGGGAGAACTGAGGGACTAGGAGAAGGTGGAGGTCAGGCAGCTCTGAGTGAGTCTGAACTGCAGTGGAAACCCCTGCCCACCCTCTGGGCACCCCCCTCACCCCGTGTTGCACACATTCCCAAAGGATCTCCCTGGGTTTCCAGGAGCGCATGGAAAGAAAGGAGGCTCCTATAACCCGGATGCACTGGCCTCCCTGGGACTCACCAGAAGTTCTGCTTGTTCATTCCGCTTGTTCRTTCCGCTCTGTGCTCCCGAGGGCTGGCTTAGGGGCTGGGCACTAGGGACAGATACTGTTCAGACCTCCTGGTGCCCTCCAGTGTTGAGGAGGAGAGAGGCAGACTCAGGTGCCTAGGAGAGTGCAGGATCTTGTTGAGAGGGGTGACCCTGGGAGTCAGGGGAGGCGTCCGGGAGGAGGTGGCACCTGGGCTAAAGTGACATGCTGTTTCTGGCCCACACTGGGAATCGATCTGAAGGGACTTGGGTTCTCTTCTCAACTGAAATATAGATGGAGTCTCGGGAGGCCTGGCCTTGTCCACCTGACCATTCTCCTGGTCACCTTCAGTGCTTATCTAATCTCTCTGAGGGCTGGGCAGGGGAGGTCCCCGGGTGCAGGGGAGGTTGTCATGGCCACCTGGGGTCTATGACCTCCCAGGTGGGAAGGAAGGGCACTCCTCAGCAAGGCCAGCTCTCTGGCTGGCTCTGGGGGCCCCTCTCTGCTGCCCATGAAGGTCTGGCTCACGGTCCTTTCCCATCTAGGAAGACTGCAGGACCCTCCTGTCCCCAAGCCGAGAGGGACACCCAAACTGATAGACAGGTAAGCTGGCCCACGAGAGGCTTTCTGCCATGGAGGTCTTGGCGGGAACGGGGTCCCTGGGGCCTGGGTGGGGCTGAGTTCCTGGGGCGGGCAGGTGGRCTTGAGAGGGAGGCTTGTCTGGTGGGCAGGAGAGCTGGGCCCACCGCCCCTTCCCCCATGGCTGCCCGGGGATTCCCACTGCCACTGCCTGACCTGCTCCCGTGGGGACAGCTGCCTCTGGAATCCCTTCCCCTTCCCCAACCTCCAGATCCTCCCTCATAYGGAGACCAGGCCTTGGAGACCGGGGCCTTGTTCATAGAGGGTAGAAAGGCCTGGGGAAGTCAGCTTGTGCTCGGCCCTCCGTTCCCCGGCCCTGCAGGGAGGACCTGTTTCCGACTCCTCTTCAGGAGCCGGGCTCTGGATGGTGGGTTGGGAGGGAGGTGGCCCAGCTGTCCTAGTGGTTGATGTTTATGGAGCTCCTGTGCATGAGACTCATTGGATTCTTACAACAGCCCAAGAGGTGTCATCGTCCCCATTTAGCAAATGAGGAGATGGACACCTAGAGGGGCCAGGTGACTGTGTTCCGGTGTTCCCCAGACCCCTGGTTTCTTTCTTTCCTGGGTGTGTGACTTGAGGGTCGGCTCTTTCTGCGCCTCAGGGTGCCCAGCTGGGATGTGAYTGTAAGAGTTCCTTTCATCCTTGGGCCCAGACTGGCCCCTGGGCTGGGAAGCTCCTCATTGCTCTCCTTTAACATGGACTTGAAACTGTGCCAGGAAGACAGAAGACTGACCCCTGCCTTCACCTCTGCTTCCTGGCCTCTCTCCAGGACGCCAGCCCCCAGGAAGGACCCCCCATGGATCACACTGGTTCAGGCAGAGACAAAGAAGAAGCCAGCCCCGCTGCCCCCCAGCAGCAGCCCCGGGCCACCAAGCCTGGCTCTGGCCAGCAGGCAGGCGGAGAATGGGGCCATGGTGGAGGGCCCCGAGCCCAGGCCCTACAACCCCTTTGAGGAGGATGAAGAAGAGGAGGAGTCACCCCCTGCAGCGCCCAGCCCGGTGCCCGGCCCTGCCCTGGCCCACCCAGAGTCCACACCCAAGTCCCTGCACCCTTGGTATGGCATCACCCCCACCAGCAGCCCCAAGACGAAGAAGCGCCCCGCCCCCCGAGTGCCCAGCTCATCTCCACTCAGTGAGTACCCCCTGCCCCGCAGCTGCCTGACCCTTGCATAGGCCCGGGCTGGGCGGTGTGGTCAGGGAGGCTCTCCAGGCCAGGGACCCAGTGGGGTTCGCAGTCTCCTTCTGTTGAGCCCTAGAGCAGCCTGTGAGGCCATGTCATGAGTGCCTCTTTGCAGGTGAGGAGACGGGCACAGAGAGGATTAGTGATTTTCCCCGGGCCTCGCAGTATTGAAGCGATGAAGGCAGGATTTGAAGATGTGAGGGCAGCTGGCTCTAGGGGTCTTTTTTTTGTGTGTGTGGTACAGGGGATGGAGCCCAAGGCTTTGCCCATGATGGGCAAGTGTTCTACCACTGAGCTACAGCCTCAGCCCTTTTTGACTTTATTTTGAGACAACACCTTGAGTTGCCCAGGCTGGCCTTGAAGGTGCCCTTGGTGCCTTGGTCTCTTGGATTCTAGGTGTACCCACTGCTCCAGATCCTGAGTCCATACTCTTGATGAGGGCCCAGGGGAGTACCTGTCCCCTCAGGGCACGAGGTAGGGGTCGGCTCTCACCCCACCTTGCTCAGACACTGTCACTGCGTCGTTGAGACTGGGAGCTGTTCCTTCCYTACATCTGTCTTCAGTCTTCCCCTCTGGGACGTGGGCAGGGCCGGCTCCAGGGTGCTGGGCCTCTGCCCTCCCTGAGCTTCCTTCCTGGGCACGCTGCATCCTGGGCTCTCTGGTCTCCCAGGTTTCCTGTGCTCTTGGCCACCTRCCTTCTCTGCTGGGGTCTGGGCCTCTGAGAACTCAGGGGACCACTCAGATGGTGGGGCCAAGAGCGTTAGAGATGCTCACAGGCAGGTGCCCAGGGGTCTCAACCCTGGGAGGCACCAGCGGTGCTTGGGCTGCCCAGGGGGAGACGGTGGGCAGGCTCTGGGTGAGCTGAGGGGCATGAACTTGGATTGGCCACAGCTGTGTTCAAGGCCAGCCCTTATGGGGACAAGTGCCCTCTCCTCTGAGTCTGTTGCTTCTTTTGGAAAGCGGGGATGAGGGACTTGGAGACTTGGTCTCTGTCGTCGGTAGGAGGATGCCCAGCAGTGGTGCCTACCAGTGCTTGGGCCGGAGGTGGCCATAGCCAGGGCTGCTGCCCCTGCCTCTCTGCTGTGTCCCTCCCTCAGAGCAGGTTGGAGACRGGGAGGCTAGCCTCACTTTTCTGGCCTTCCCCTGCCGCAGTCTCCCCTCCCCTCCCCAGTAGCTTGCCTGGGGGTGGCTCGGGCATGGGCATGCTGGGAGGCGGTGGGGGGTGGCGGCGGCAGTGCTACTGCATGAGAGGAAGGGTCTCAGTTGTGTCACGAGGCAGTGCACCCCAGCACAAGGCCTGACGATGGGAACACCTGTGACTTGGTCCTGCCGTAGGTTTGCTGTCTTGTGGGCCYGCGCCCATGCGTTTGGGGAGGGGCTGGGTTTCCTGGGTCACTGGCAGCTCTGGGGCGGGGATCCTGTCGGGTGAGGCTGAAGGCCTGGCCCAGCGGGTCACATGAGGTCACGTGGCATCCATTCACAGCTCTCCACGCCTCCCGCCTCTCCCGCTCGGAGCCCCCCTCGGCCACGCCRTCCCCGGCCCTCAGTGTGGAGAGCCTGTCCTCCCAGAGCTCAGGCCAGGCTGCCAGCGCCGAGCTCCTGGAGCCGCCCGCCGTGCCCAAGAGCTCCTCGGAGCCTGCTGTCCACGCCCCCGACACCCCCGGCACCCCTGGGAACTCGGCCAGCCTCTCCGCCGACTCCTCCCTGTCTTCTTCTGGGGAGATGGTGCAGCCCAGCACCGAGCGGACACCACAGGCCAGGACCAGKGGCAGCCCAAGTCCCCTGCCAGCCAAGCCCTGCAGCGGTGCCACCCCCACCCCTCTCTTGCTGGTTGGAGACAGGAGCCCTGCACCTTCCCCGGGAAGCGCGTCCCCACAGCTGCAGGTGAAGGTGAGTGTCCACCCCCACTCTCCCTCCGCCAGCTGCGTCCTYTCTCATGGACATGGGTCTGGTCTCCAGGCAAGAATGTCCAGGCCTGCCGTTTATGCTGGCTCYTGACTTCTCGAGTGGCCTTGGCTATGTCCAGCAAGCCACTCCCACCCTATGCAGTGAGGCACCAATCCCTCTSTCCATCCCCTGTCCATTTGTTCATCTGTCCACTCATTTGGCCATCTGTGTACTAAATGTCCAGCGCCTGTGTACCTGGTGTCCTAGGCCTGTGTGCTGAACCCCTGGGACCATCCACCCCAGCCTTCGTGCACACGGCCCGTCCACCCCTCCTCCGCTCCCGCTTGGTGGCTGTCGGGCTGGGGTCGAAATGGCRTTCAGACCCCGACTTGCCCTGGGGGGCTCATAGGCTGCTCAGGGAGACATGACTCGGATTGTTCTAGAAGGTGATCTGGGGTAGAACAGAGGGAAGGGACCCATCTGCCGGCCGCGGAGGTGATGTGGGCGAGGGTGGTCCCTGTCCTTGAGGGGCTCTCAGCCAGGTGGGGAGGTGCTCAGGTGACCGTGGTGCTGTGGGGAGGGTTGGCAGTGGCAGGGTCAGCCCCTGACAGGCTGCAGGGCTCAGGACCCAGTTCCTGAGTGCCTTGGCTGTGTGGCCTGGAGGCGTTTGGAGAGGGCAGATAGGTGTGTCCTCGGGCCCCCTTAGGCCTGCTGGGTGGTGTCTTCTCTCAGGCGCGGTGCCAAGGAGAATTGGTTTCCAGAAGCTTGGTCAGCCATAGGCTCACCAACTTCCCCGCCCTGTGCCAACAACCTGGGGTGGCCTGGGATCGGGACATGCTCTAGGCACCTCGCTCATGCCCTCCTGTGTCCACAGTGCAYGCTCCACTGGCCTCTCGGCACCCAGGGCTTGTCCAGGCCCCAGTAGGGGAAGGCAGGGATGCTTACGGGGGCAGCTGTTGTCATGGCCTGACTGTGGTCGGTCTGGACCTACCTGTGTGCCTTTCAGACACCATTGGACCTTGCTTGGCTTGGGCCACAGCCTCAGGTGCAGTGATCCTAGCTGTGCCACCTGCAATGACCTTGAGAAGACCCTGTCCTTCCCTGGGCTCGGGCTCCCCTTGAGAGAGAGGGGCTGGGCCGTGCCAGGCTCCAGACTGGTGGTCAGAGGTGGGGTGGCTGGGTTAGGATCTGCTCCAGGCATCTGCCCCCATCCATCGCTGTGTGAGGGTGGGTGTGAGGGTGGCCTGTGGCTGACAAGGGCTGAAGCCCCTGAGGGCTCGAGGTTTCAGGCTCCTGGACTCTGCTGGGTCTTCTGGGTGTTTATGGAGGCAGGAGGCAGAACCCCAAGTGATCCTCCTTCTGGAGAGCCCACCCACACTCCTTCCAGGATTGGGAGACAGTGGGGACAGGAGACCAGGTCTTGGGTGGCCGAGCTGACCTGGACTGGGCTCACTGGTGAGGACCTCCCTGTGTGGCTGCACTCTGGCCCTGGCACATTTTCCTGCCTCAGTGTCCCAGAGAGACTCCTAGCCTCAGAGGTGGCTCCCTGAGCTGGCATAGGGGAAGGGCAGGGCCCTCCCTTCCCAGCTGTGGGAGAAGACTGCAGGCCTCAGTGTGCCGCAGGAAGGCCTGCGAGGGCTCCTGTGTTTTCCTCCCGGGAGCTGCAGAGAGCCGTGACAGTGTGCATGGGGCGGGCGGGGCCTGCCGGGCCTGGTGTGGCTGCCTGGCTGGGCCGGCCTCAGAGGGGACAGCGGTCTCCCCAGAGGGGCAGAAAGACAGAGCCTGAACTCTGGTGTCTGTGGTTGGCTGGGCAGCAGAGGGAGGGCCTTTCCCAGTCCAGAAGGGAGCTGTCCTTCACCATCTGCTGCAGGAGACAGGGTCAGGGTCCTCTTCTGTACTCCTGGCTGGGTGGCCCTGTGTGAGAGGAAGGGCATCTGTCTGTAAGGCCTTGGTGAGCTCTCCATGGTCTGCCCACAGCTCCTCTTTGCTGAGGGCTGCTGGGCCTAGACTTCCTTGCTTGGCTGTAAAATGTACTTTATAATACCTGCTTCGTAGGTGTTGGGAGACGAAACTTTTTGTGTGGGGGTGAGGGTGGGGGTCGTGCTGGGAATGGAGCCCAGGGCCTTGAGTATGCTGGGCAGGTCTCTTCCCCTGAGCCACGCCCAGCCCTGATCTGAGATCCGAGCAGGAGCGCATGTATCCAGAGCATCGGGTGCAGTAGTAACTGGCACACTGCAGGTTCTCTGGGAATGGAAGTGCTTGGTGGGGGCAGCCCTGTGGTAGGGCATTGCCTAGCATGCACGAGGCCCCAGACTCTTCTCAGCACTTAAAATAATAAGTAAGAGCTTTAAGAAAAAAAGATAAGAAAAGAATGTGTGCTGGGTGTGGTGGTGCACACTGTAATCCCAGATGTTTGGGAGGCTGAGGCAGGAGGACCTAAAGTTTGAGACCAGCCTCAGCAAAGAGGAAGACCCTGTCTCATAATAAAAAACGTAAAAGGCTGGGATGTAGCTCAGTGGTAAAGTGCCTGGGTTCAATCTCTAGGAAAGAAAGAAAGGGAGAGAAGGAAGATGGGAGGGAGGGAAAGATGAAAGAAAGGAAAAGGAGAAGAAAGAAAGGAAGGAAGGAAGGAGAGAGAGAGAACTGGAATGCTGACGAGGGTGAGTGGAACTTGCTGCAGCCTCCCTAGTAGCTAGGATTGCAGGCGTTTGCCACCAAGCTGGTCCGCTTTCTGTGTCCCTCGTGTGACCATGCTGCCCATTGTCATGTCCCTGCCTTTAGTCTTCCTGCAAGGAGAATCCTTTTAATCGGAAGCCGTCACCAGCAGCATCTCCAACAGCAAGGAAGGCCACCAAGGGATCCAAGCCAGTGAGGCCACCTGCACCCGGACATGGCTTCCCGCTCATCAAACGCAAGGTGCCAGCTGGGAGCCCTGGGACGCAGGCAGCGGGACCACYGCCTCCCTGTCACCTCGGGCCGAGTGTCTGGGTCGCTGCCCTGATGCTCAGGAGGGTTATTAGGTGACCTCTGGAAGCCCSGGCTTCAGCCAGGGGGACACAGCAGGGGCCCTGGCAGCCCAGAGCAGCCCTCKGCATTTCTTGGTGGCTAACGATAGTGCAGCGTCAGGCGCACCTGTGAGAGGCTGGTTCTCCAGGTCATCTCGACATCGGCCACTGTCACTCCTGCTGTGAAGTCCTTCAGAGTGGCAGGGGGAGGAGTTTCCACAAAGCTGGAAATGGGGGTGTCTTGGTGCTGGGACTCCCAGCACGTARGGGTCGGGGTGACCCCACACCAGCCTCTTCCCCTCACCCATCCTGCTTCCTGCTGCGCTGGCATGTACCACAGGACCTGGGTCCCTGGAGCCTATGGTGGCCAGAAAAAGGGGTGGAGCTCCTGGCATCAGCCTGAGCAGGGGAGGGCACGCGGGAGAGGGTTGCTGGCCTTTAGGTGACCAGGGTATTTGGGGGCAGGTCCAGGCTGACCAGTACATCCCGGAGGAGGACATCTATGGAGAGATGGACACCATTGAGCGCCAGCTGGATGCTCTGGAACACCGCGGGGTCCTGCTAGAGGAGAAGCTGCGTGGCGGAGTGAATGGTGCGGGAGCCCGGGAGGGTCTGGGGTGGTGCCCCTCTTCCTGGGCCAGCGAGCAGGGGAGCCGGGTGGCCCGCCCTGGCCTCAGGGGGTGTCTGGCTTTAGAGGGCCGAGAGGACGACATGCTGGTGGACTGGTTCAAGCTCATACACGAGAAGCACCTGCTGGTGCGGCGGGAGTCGGAGCTCATCTACGTGTGAGTCCTGCACGGCCCGCCCGCCCTCCTGTCCTGGGGCTGGTGGCAGCACAGGGTGGGGCAGCCAGGTAGGGGGCAGAATTGCCCATTGTCCCCCGATTCTCACCCTCTAGCTTCAAGCAGCAGAACCTGGAGCAGCGCCAGGCGGACGTGGAGTACGAGCTTCGATGCCTTCTCAACAAGCCGGGTGAGGGGCCGCACGTCTTCCACCCTGAGCCGCCACGGGCAGTGCGTAGGTGGGCTGGACGTGGGCCACAGGAAGGGGCCAGCAGGCGCCCTGGGTCATCTGAGGCTGGGAGCAGTTAGGGTGGGCATAAATGGTGAGTGCCATGGAGGAGACGGACCACGTGACAGGTGAGGGGGGATGTCCATGGTGTCGGGGTGACCAGCTCTCGGTGAACAACAGGACCAGGAGCAGCATGGGATCAGACTTGCTGTGTGATATTAGGCGAGTTGCTTAGCCTCTCTGGGCCTCAGTGGCTTCATGTGTGAGGTGAGAATAAAGGAACACATCCCATAGGGCGTTCTCGGGACAGAAGACAGTGATGCAGAAGCTCCCTGGGCTCCRCGGACTGAGTGCCAAGCTGGAGTCTGGTGAGGGGGGCTCTTCAAGGGCCCTTTGGCCACAGTATGAAGTGAACGGTAGCCGGGGGCAGAGACCTCGGGACTGTGGAAGCCACAGCTCTGACCTCTCCCCATGGCTGGGCATGGTGCCAGCCCTGCGTGGCAGGCCACTGTCACCCTTTAACACACAGGGGAATGGAGGGCTTGCCCGGGGGTGTTGCAGGTGCCCTTCCCTCCACATCTCCCACCTGCACCTGTCCCTGCACACCCGGCACCTGTCCCTGCACACCCGGCACCTGTCCCTGCACACCCGGCTCTCCTGTCTCTGTGACTGGTCCTGCCTCTCCATTGGCTGGGGAACCTGGGAGGCAGGTGGCCCTGGGAAAGTCACAGGATGGCCCAGGTCCACTACCAGCTGTGCGTCATTCCCACCCAGACCTCCAGGAGGCTGGGGTGTGGCCACTCAGAGGGCCACAGCAACACCCTGTGGCCGAGTGAGCTCAGGACCTCCATCTCCCCGGCCAGCCTGGCCCTGGGTCTCCCRTGGTCGCTCCAGCCTCCCTTCTGTGGGCAGCACTTTCTGGGCTTGACTCCGATGTTGTTTGGGGAGGATGAGCCCCAGGTGGACTGGAGAGCCGTCTTCTGGGGGTGTGAGGCTGCCCCACTTCAAATCCTGGGCCACCTTTGCTGGGTGGTGCTGGCCAAGGACTTAGCTTCCCTAAGCCTGCTCCCTACATGTAGACTAGGGACATAAGTCACCCAGGTTCCAGATTTGGGAAGTAATAGAGTGGGGTATGAACTTGGATGGTGACACTGAGCCCATATTCTGTCCCTAGAACTAGGTTGGGCACCTGCCCCTGAACTTTGGCAAGGTGAGGCAGTAGGCCAGCGKGGCAGTGGCTCAGGGGCCCAGCTGTCATTCCAGATGTGTGGGAGATGCTGGGGAGGTAATGCCAAGGGCACAGGTGGGCCCCTGAGGGTGGACCTGTGGGACGGCTCTGCGCCTGGAGGGGAGAGGAGCTCAAAGGGGCAGCAGGTAGACACAGCAGCAGGGGAACCTCCTAGCTGGGCTCCTGCCCCAGTTCCCCTTCATCTTCCCTCCTCCTTGGTGACTGCCCCAGTRTGCCCCTTGGGTCATAGTGCCTCTGCAGGAGGAGCCCCGGGAGTCCCTGCTGTCTCCCCGCCGGGTCCTGCCTGCTGCAAGAGGCCATCTTGCCCATCTATTGCCATATGCGTGAACTGAGCGGGGGGGCCCCGTAAGTGTGCCGGCCTCTGTTCTTAGAGGGCCTCATGCTGGCCCTCCCGGGGCCCCTTGAAGGGTGCTTTTTTTTTTAAAGCATCCTTGTTCTCTTCCATAACAACCTTCGTTTCCCCCAAATACTTCTGAGGTCTGCCCCTCTGGGCCTCCTTCCTGTGCAYGCTCTAGTGGCTCCTGGTGTGCTGGGGAGGAGGAGGGTCCGCCACCACTCATACCTTGGCCCTTCTCCCCTGGCAGAGAAGGACTGGACCGAGGAAGATCGGGGCCGGGAGAAGGTGCTGATGCAGGAGCTCGTGACCCTCATCGAGCAGCGCAATGCCATTGTCAACTGCCTGGACGAGGACCGGCAGAGGTGACACGGCTAGGGGAGGGGCCCAGAGTGGGCTATACCTTTGGCCCCATGGGTGAGACAACTCCCTGGCAGAGCCCAAGACAGGCCACACCCCAGGGCCAGGCCAGCCCTGCCCTGACCACCAGTGATCCAGGTACACTCTTGCTCAGCCTGGGGGACTCGGAGGCTGGAAAGGACTTGAAGAGATACCGTGATAGTTTTTTGTCACTGTGACCAAAAAACCTGAAAAGAACAATCTGGAGGAGGGAAGGTTTACTTTGGTTCATGGCTTCAGAGAATTCAGTTCAGCAGATTCCACTGCCCCAGCCTCAGATGAGGCAGAACATCCTGGCAGAAGGGCTGGCATGGGGAGCAGGGAGGGCAAGAGGTGGGAAGAGGGTGAGTCCTGCCCCACGCCCTACGCCCCAGGGCCTGCTGCCTCCAACCACTTCCTCCTGCCTCCATGATGGTGAGGTCAGAGCCTTTGTGACCCAGTCACTGCCTCAGAGGCCCAGCCTGAACCTTGCTGCCAGGGAYCACGCTTCCAACTCAAGGCTTTGGGGACACACTGTAGACCCAAACCATGACATGGTCCTTCCTCCTGTGGGTGCTCAGCTTCCTTTACTCATTTCAGAGAAGAAGAGGAAGACAAGATGTTGGAAGCCATGATCAAGAAGAAAGGTGAGGCTGGGCCTGATGGGCACACCTGTAACCCTCAGCTCCTTGGGAAGCTGAAACAGGAGGATCTCAAGTTCAAGGCCAGCCTGGGCAACTTAGACCCCGTCTCAAAATAAAATTAAGCCATGCATGGGGGTGCACACCTGTAATCCCAGGTGCTTGGGAGGTTTGAGGCCAGCCTTAGCAACTTCACAAGGCCCTAAGCAACTTAGCCAGACCCTGTCTCAAAATAAAAAATAGAAGGCTGTGGGTGTGGTTCAGTGGTTAAGCGCCTCTGGGTTCAATCCCTGGTACCAAACATTTTTTAAAAACTTAAATTAAAAGGGGTGGGGTGTAGCCGTGGTAGAGCTGCTTGCCTCGCATGCACAGGCCCCGGATTTGATCCCAGTGCTGTAAGAATGAGACAAATAGTAAAGGAGGAAGGTRAAGCCTGTCCCCAGGGGAGGACAGTTCTGGTTCTGGGCCTCTTCCCTCTTCAACTCCTGCTTTCAGCCTGCGGGTGGAAGGAGAGGGGTGGGTGGAGCAGGAGCAGTCCAGCAGGAGTGGGTGAGCAGACTCAGTCTCTGTTGAGAGGCCGCTGGAGCAAGGTAGGCCAGCCGACAGCCAAAAGCCACGTGGAGGGCTGGTGTGTGTGGGACAGTTCCAGCCCCAGGATGGGTTGCCCTTGGGTGTCTCCTTCCTGGTCTGCAAGCTGGTGCGTGTGGGGTGTGTGGGCCCAGACGGCGGTGCCCTTCAGCATCAGACAGTGCCTGGAACGGCAGGAAGCCTGGGCCTACAAGCTGGTCTGGTTTGGTCTTAGCTCCACCAGCCGCTCACTGTCCGCACTTGGGCTGGAGTCAGGCTGCTTGGATGCAGTCCAAGCTCTGGCATTCTGAATCTGCAGAATGGGGTACCAAGCGCTGCCTCCCTGGCACTGCTGAGGATCACAGGGGGAGCAGGTGGGGAGCCCTTAGCCTGGGGCCTGGCACCCACAAAAGCTCAGCTGGGATTGGCTCATCTCAGAGACTAAAACTCTTGAGCTGGGAGAGATCATTTCCGGAGTTTCCTCTTGCTCTGAAGGTTGGTGCTTGTGTTGCAGCCCACAGAGTCGTGAGCTCATATAGCTGAAGTGACAGGGCACCCAGATTGTCCTCGTGGTCCTTGCCAAGACACCGGGCAAGGAGGATCCCTAACCTCTAGGGAATAAGGGAGGCCTGGGATGGTGAAGTGACTGCCCAGTTTCATACAGGCTGGTGTGGGGCCGTCCTGCTGGCCACAYACCTGGTCAGTGACACAAGTCACTCACCCCAGCCTGCCCCGGATGGACTCCCTCGAGTCAAATCTTTCCCTTTCTCTGCTCAGAGTTCCAGAGGGAGGCTGAACCCGAGGGCAAGAAAAAGGGGAAGTTCAAGACCATGAAGATGCTGAAGCTGCTGGGAAATAAGCGTGACACAAAGAGCAAGTCCCCTGGGGACAAGAGCTGACAGTGAGGGAAGCTGCTGGGACTGTCTCCTCCTGGATCCTCATGGGCTGGAGGGAGCCCCCTGCTGCTGTGGATCAGTCAAGGGGGAAGGTGACTCAAGGGGAGGGTGTCTCTGGGTGAGCCTCCCCCACTGAGGTCTCCGTCTGTCTGGGCCAAAGAGTTTCCCTCCCTCTTCTCAGCACTCCAGACAGCTGTGACCCAGCCCTGCCCAGTCAGATCTGAGGATTCCAGATGCTGTGACAGACCCAAAGGCAAGCAGGGACTCCAGGTGCAGGGAGGGGCAGTGGCCACGCACACCCACCCGCTCGCTCCATGGTCCCTGCCATGGTGGGGCAGCTCCTCGGCCTCCCCTCCCTTCTCTGTAGGCGCTGGCCTCGCTCTGCCCCGCTAACAGGCCGGAGCGGGACGGGCTGTGCTGGCCTCCTCCTGCCAGCCTGAGTCTGTCTTTCTGTCCAGTGCAGGTGCCCAGAATCTCATGTCACCTTGCTCAGGAGCTCTATTTATCAAGTCTGCAGTTAAGTTCAAATGAGTTCCTGAGTGGTCTGTGCTGGGCAGATCCCACCTCCTCTGCCTCCGAGCTGGAGGAGGTTCTCCCTCCCCTCCCCTGTTCTGTGGGAAGACTTACTTCCCAGACGCCACAGTGCCCTGGTGGCCATGCTGGGGCAGGTGGGTGCTCCTGTTAGCTGTCCCCTGGGCATGGCCTCTGGAGGCCACCCGGTCAGAGCTCTGGTCCCGTGCATCAGCCTAGGGAGGGTGCTCCAGGTAGGTGCTGACCTGACTGAGGCGTCCTCCCCACCCAGGGCCTGGGGCCCGCTCCCCCTGTGGTCATCACCCATCTGTCTCCTTTGTTGTCTGTCCTCTCCCCAACTCATTTCCACTTGAGGACTGATGGCCACCCATCCCCTGTGGGAGGGGACAAGTGATGGGGATGTCACTTTTGCCCAGGGAATGTGCCTGGCAGCTCTTGGTCAAAACACTGTGTCATAAGCTCTGGGGGCCTCCAGGCCCCCTCCTCCATGCACCTGGGGGCAAGATCGCACAGTATTAACTTGGGGACATTCCTCAACAACATTCAATGGGGACAGCCTCAGGCCATGGCCACATTTGCCTTCTTGTCTGCCTCTGCCCCACTTCCATGGCCAGGTATCTCTGCCTGCCTTGGAGGGTCTGGGACCATGCTGAGGTTGTCCACTGAGTGGGACCTTGGCCTTCAAAGCCTGTCCCTGGGCAGGATTCCCTTCCTCTCCACACCTGGGCAGCCTCTGGCAGTCCCTTGCTGAATGTGCCTGTTGACCTGGGGCTGAGGTCACCACCTTAAGGCCTTTCGGGAACCAGGCAGGTAACACACTTGACCTGGGTCGGGTGTAGACTGGGAGGATCTGCCAGCGTTAGGGCCCCCCACTGTAGTCCACTGTAGCCTGTGGGAATGAACGTGGACCCAGGGTWGCCAAGTCTTTTCCATTTTCCAAAGAAACTGGGGATTCAGATTTCGTATGTGTGTGATTTGTGAACGCCCGGTCTGAACTTGTTGGGSTGGCCTGAATTTGCCCTGGTTCTCTGTTTTGCTGCCTCTGGGTCATGTGACGGTGGCCTGTGAGTGGAGGTACTGTCCTACTGCAGCTTCTGCTCTGTGCTCTTGTGGGTGTGGACACAGGCTTCCCAGGAGGGTTCCTGAGCCCGCTCTTGTTGGCTGCTGAACAGCCAGGTTTATTGTGCACACAAAACATGGGTTGTGTGACGTGATAGGATTATGATTCCTTCCAGGTGTGGGGGACAGCAGGCAGGGTTTTTTTGAGGTGGGGTTAGGAAAAGACAGAACACTAGAGGAGGAGACCTGTGAGTGTCAGGAGCCCAAGGTGTGGGACTAATATGCTGTGTTGCCAGGCCAGGGTGTGCTTTCCTGTCAAGTGACTGTTCAGCCACCCTTCAGCCCAGGACCAGCCACATGCAGGAACAGAGCTGAGGCCGTGGGCGCACAAGGAGACATGGTGCGTGCCAGAGCTGGAACTCCAAAGCCAGGTGCACTGTCAGCGTGGGTCCCTCTCACCCCTGTGTGCTGCTGCTCTGGTCTGTATTTAGACCTAAAGTAACTTTTAATCCTGAGAAGGCTGTTCACTAGTTAAACGCCCTTGAACCTTAGTTTTTTCCCAAGGGGTGATGAAGCCTCACGCCGTCTGTTGAGATCATTAACTGAAGTTCACCTGCCATGGCTACTGGCCATGGGGTACTCAAGAGTGTCAGTCCCATTTCCTCTTGAAATGTGCAAACAGGCAACTAGAAACCGTCCATGTTGGACAAAGTCTAACTCTGTGCAAATAAGCGTTATCCCTGTGAAAACAAGGTGGTACGTGTAATGACCCACGTTAAATGTGTTTTATTGGCCAATTAATCACTGTTGTTAAATATTTGCCAAGGCTTTAAGTCATCAAATAAGTAGATCCCAAGACAGGCGGGAGGGAAGGCTCGTCTTCATCCCCAAGTCTAGAAACTAACTGAGCAGGAACAGGAGCTGGAGGTGGTGGGAAGAGAGCCACAGATGCCCTCAGACGCACTTCCAAGGTGGTGAGACTTGGGCCTTCACTGTTGCTGTGTCTGTCCCCAGAAGATCTGAAGCCCTGTCATTGGGTGGCTCTGAGACCCCACCCGTAGTCCCCAGCATCCCTGAGCAGCATCTGCASTCTATGACAGTGCCATGCTGGGCAGCCATCTGACATGAGTGGCTGGCCTGGATGACGTGGTTGGCACAGGGGCGGGCTGCGGCGKTCCAGTGTGAGCTGCCCTGCCGCCTCTGACTAAGTGGTGGCAAGAGCCTCCCTAAGTTCCTCACTCCTTCTGCGGTCGATGTCTTCCATTTCCCGTAGTTTCTGCGAAGGGCAGCAGGGGAAGTTGGTATCAGGTTAAGAACTTGAGGAGCATCAGGATGAGCTGTGGCTCAACTCCGAGACTGGGGTTTCTCCTCACTCTGACTCTGGGCCCGCTCCTCCTACCTGGGAGATTTCAGCCAGGATGATTCCTTGGTACTTCTTGCCCTGCCCCAGGGCCTCCATGGCATCCAGGAATTCCTTCCTCTCCTGGACTTCCTTCACAACTAGACAGAGGAACGGGGTGTCAGGGCAGGGGGCTCTATGAAGGGGGTGTAGTGGGGGAGGAGTGGTTCTGCCCCTGCCCCAGGGGCTCACGTTCTTCAAAGCGGTCGGGCTCAGGAGCTGGGTCCTGCTGCGGCACAGGGGCTGCCTTTCTTTTCCATTCTGCCAGGTCCTTCCCGGTGGCAAAGATAGTTTGGAGTCTTTGCTTCTCCTTTTCCAGATCTCCTGTAGGGCCCCCAAATGGCCTAGTTGAGGCATAAAGCTCTCTCCGGTTGCATGTCCAGGGGGGCACGCATCGAGCTACAGCCTGTCTGGCAAGGGACAGGTGTGCAGACCCAGCAGCCTCCCTCCTGGGTGCTCCTGAGCTTGTCAAGTTGAGATAGTCTCCAAACACCCCCCCACCCCGTCCCCAGAGGAGAGTCCCCAACCAAAGTGGGTGGCTTCAACTCACTGGTGGCTCGAGGCTTGAACTGCTCACGGCTGTAGGCCCCGTTGGCTCGGCACATGCTGGCAGGCCGGAGGCGAGACCGGGCTGCCAGGGCAGGAGGCAGGTGGGTGGCTGGTGGCAGCTGTTTGGAAGGTGAGCCTTGCTGGCTGGATGTCGGATTGCACTGTAGGGGCAAAGGGTCTCCTCCTGGGGGTGGAAGGGTCTCGTGGCTTTTTTTTTTTCCCTTCATCTTACTAGTCAAATGGTGCAGCAGAATCTTCTTATCCCCACTAAGCCCACCCCTCTACAGTGAGCGGTGGGAACAATTTGGTGGTCTCTTTGCTTTTTGATGCTTATATAAACATGCTCAAAGATGTGTGCATATATTTTTCATGTGCACATAAGATTCTTTTTTCAAACACTGGATCATATTGTATAATAGTCAATAACAGTCCCTTTTCACATAACCATTTATTGTGGACATCTTTCCAGAAAAATCTGTTTATATATAACTTATTTTTTATAGCTATATACTAGTCATTAGAATGGTTACCTTATTTATTCAGTTAGTCTCCTAGTTTTGGAAGTTCAACTTGTTTCCAGGTTTTCTGTTGGTTGGTTTTTTACTACTACAAACAATGCTGCAATAAACACTCTGTACACTGCGTCTTTGTCCTGGTGTTTTTATTTCTGTTTTCCCTTTGCTTGGTCCACGGACTAGTGGGAACAGTTTGGATGGTAATAGACACAAATGCCACCTGCTCTACATCCCCCCTGTTGCCCCATGCCTGGGCTCCTCCCCCAGGCCATCCAAGTGTCTCTCCTATCTGGTCACTGGGCCCCTTCTCTCCTCCACCCCATTTTGTTTTTTTTAGTTGTAGATGGACAGCATGCCTTTATTTTATGTATTTTTCTGTGGTGCTGAGGATTGAACCCAGTGCCTCACACGTGCTAGACAAGTGCTCTACTGCTGAGCCACAACCCCAGCCCAGTTGGAGGGTTCTGAGAAAAAGACATGCCCTCTGTGGCTGCTGTTGAAAATCTGAAGCCCAGGGCTGAGGGCGGAGGAGGAAGGGCAGCTGGGAGCCACTCGGGGAGTGTGCAGCCATGGCAGCCAGCGGGGAGGTGGGAGGGATGGTCGGGACATGGTTTGAAGGTCCTGTAGAAAGGGCGGATGTGGGGTTTGGGAGAAAGGGGAGTCGAGGATAACTCCCAAAAGTGCAAGGACAGACCTTCCTTTCCCAGGCCCTCTACCCAGGGCTCTAGCCCTGAAGAAACGCTGATTCCCAGTGTGTCCTTCACACCTCCCACTCTCCAGTTCAACCTCTTCCTTTGGCCCCTTCTCAACAAAAATTTATGGCCTAAGGAATTGTGGCCTTCCAGGGGAGGGATTTGTGGCTTGCAGCAGTATTTGAACTAAGGCTCAAAGCAACTGGTAGGATTTGGTTAGGAGAAGAAAAGTAGGGGAGGAACTCCAAGAGAAGCCAGGCTCAACACCCAGACTTGAAGGCAAATTTTAAAAAATAAAACATCTAAGGAGAACGAGGCTGCTAGGCAAAGCAGTCACTTGTGTTGGCCAACCACTGATGTAACCAGCAGTTCAGTACGAATCATGCACCTGCCCTAGGTGCTGGGTTACCGTGCTGAACAAAGGAGACAGTCTTTGGTCTGACAGTATTGACTTTCAGTGGGACTTCTAGCACATTCTCTATGGTTATGCTAACAGGAGACACCATACTATCAGACTGCTGCATGTGGAGGTTATGTGACTGAAACATGTGATGGCACTAGCCTTGTCCTTGTCCACAATGAGGAAGGAGATCTGACCCCTGACTTGGTGAACAGAGCTTCCCTGTCCATATTTGCCTCTGACATTCCTCTTTGCTTGTGAGGGGGATTAGGTGCCCTCGTCATCTTTAGAGAAGGCGACAGTTTTGGTAGATCAAGCAAATTCTGCAAGCTTGGGCCTTCTGGCATGTCCCCCCACCTCTCTCTCCCCAGGAGAGCTATACCCATCAGCTATATCCCCAGCCCTTTTTATTTTGAGAGGGTCTTGCTAAATTGTTCAGGCTGATCCTCTTGCCTCAGACATGCAGACTGCAGACACCCCAGTGCTGAGGCTGTTGTGGATGGGAAGGGAGTCTTGCTTAGGCCACAGTTTCTTAGGAAGGTCAGTGACAGCCTGCCTGTAGGGGGCTTATTGTGCCTGACTCATGTCAAAAGTAGCAAAGGCCACACAAAAGGTCAATTCCCAAGGATTTGGGATCAGGAATACTATGTATTCATTTTTTTTTCCTTTTAAAATGAGGTTCTGTCCCCCTTAACATGGAGGAGCTTTAAAAATGTGGCCCCAAGCCAGGTGTGGTGGTGCATGGAATCCCAGCAACTCAGGAGACTGAGGCAGGAGAATCACAAATCTGAAGCCAGCCTCAGTAACTTTGTGAGACTCTGGTTTCAGTCCCCAATACTGGGGGTGAGGAGGAAGGGGGAGTGTCCCCAATCCCTCCACCCAGGAAGCTTCTGTGGACTGAACACCTCTTACTTTTCATAGTGTCCGTGAGGTAGCGCTGCTGGAAGCTGGTTAGTTTGGATTCCTTCATCATCTCTGCAAAATAAAGCACTTGCATGAGGCTGAGCTGCAGCAGATGATTTCACTGTATACTGCAACTGTATCTTCTCCTACTCCATTCTGCACTGCACTCTTCCTCTCTCTTTTTATGTTCATTTAATTTTTCTTTTAGTTGTAGCTGGACACAACACCATTATTTTATTTATCTTTATGTGGTGCTGGGGATCGAACCCAGGGCCTGGCATGTGCTAGGCAGATGCTCTACTGCTGAGCCCCAGCCCCAGCCCCCACCCCCCTCCCTTTCTTGCTCCATTTTCTTCTCTTGTGGTACTGGGGATTGAACCCTGGGCTCTTCTACCCCTGAGCTGCATCCCTGTTTTTACTTTTATTTTTTTTTCACATTTATTTTTTAGTTATAGGTGGACACGATGTCTTTATTTTACTTTTTGTGTTGCTGAGAATTGAACCCAGTGCCTCACACATGCTAGGTAAGCACTCTACCTCTGAGCCACAACTCCAGCCCCTGTTTTTATTTTTGAGACAGGGTCTTGTTAAGTTGTCCAAGGCTGCCCTCAACCTACAATCCTCTTGCCTCAGCCACTTGAGGGCTGGGATTACAGGTGTGTGGTACCATGCTTGGCTCTGGCTGTTTTTTTTTTTTTTAAATTTGTTTCAGTACTGGAGATTGAACCCAGGGCTTGTGTATTCCAGATAAGGGCTCTACTACTGAGCTACATCTCCAGGCAATGGCTAAGTTTTGTGTGTGTGGTATGCACACCTGTGTGCACATGCTAGGGATCAAAACCAGGGCCTCGTGCATACTAAGCACATGCCCTACCACTGAACTACACCCTAGTCCTAAATTTTATTTATTATTTATTATGCTACTAAACTCTTAGCTCTATAAGAGCAAGAATTTTTTTACAGCTTTTTTTTTTTTTTTTTTTACTGCTATATCCCCAGCATCTAGAACAGTGCCCAARGTACAGAGTAGGCTTAAACATTTTGTTGTTGTGGAGTGAATGAATACTTGTTCAATCATGTGTCAGGGGCTAGAGCTACAACTGTGAGCAGAAACTGACACACTCCCTGCCTGATGGAATCCACTATCTAGAGGTATACATGGGACACTAAATATCTAGCTATAGGTTGTGCTGAACCCAGTGTAGGGAGATTGGGTTCTTTGAGGGTACTTAACCACTGGTCCCACTGTGGTGGTATGGGGAGGAGATAAGGATTCCTGGGGAACACTGAGAGTGGGAGGTAAAGAATGCATAGAAATAAACTACTCCAAAATTCTTATTTCTTTGACTTTTAGCTCCTGGTCAGCAGTAGCACACTGAACCTTTCTGAACCCCAGGATCCTTGTTCGTAAGAGAATAGCCACTGTGTCCCCCAGCCACAGGTCATGTAGAGTAGAGGAGAACAGAGTTACACAGGGTAACTGCTACTACTGCTCCCYGACCTGTGTCCTCTTAACACACTCACCTTTGAGCAGCTTGCGGGTCTCTGGGGTATAAGCAGCCGACTTGGGGCAGCGCCGGAACGCTGTTTCTTTGGTCACTGCCTCCATTCTGTTCTGTGAGGCCACGGCAGGGCCTAGAAGAGAAAGACACACGCGCACACCCCCTGTTTCCCAGTCCCAATCTCTGCTCCTTCACCCCCACCCTCTGGGAGTGGGGTCAACTGGGACACCCAAGTTAATACTGCGACAGGGCCGATCCCCTAACCTCCACCCAMGCTAGATAACAGAGCCCTTATCCTGACCCCCGGTGCCTGCGGCAGGTGAATCCCCTCGGGAGGACACATCTTTAAGATAGCCGAGGTCCCCATTGGGTGACAGGATAAAACTGAAACCTCACCCTATTGTTAGGCCCCCGCTGGTGTCCCCTCCTCATGCAGAGCGGCTGGCGGGCTCCGAGTGACCACCGCTCTCGCGCGGGCGCGGGGCACAAAAGCTGCGGAATTCCAGGCACGAGTGCCGCAGCCAGCGGCTCTGGTTACTATGGTAACCAGCAGCCCACGCGGCGCGTGCGCATTTCTGCTGCGCCTCCGGCTTCCCGGAAGTGGTTTCCTCGGGGTCACGGCGCAGGCGCAGGCGCAGGCGCAGGATACGCGGGTCACACGCTGGGCGGAGGGTCACTACCTGTGGCTCTGCGCGCGGGTCAGGACAGGGACCTGGGTCACTGAAGCAAAGGGCGTCATGTCAGACAACGAGGACAAGTGAGTGCGGGAGTGGAACGGCCTTCGCTGGAACCTCGGGAGGGACGGGTGAGGCGGGGCCTGGACGAAGGCGGGTGGGGAACCTGGCGTCGCGCGGTGTGTCCAGGGGCCGGCACTGGAGCGTGCACCGGCCCGAAGCTGGGCAGCGACAGAGTGGAGCAGCGGGAAAGCTGAGTTCCAGCAGACTGCACCGAGCAGTGCACCACTGTGTCGAGGGTGGGATTAATATATTGAGATGAATTAAGTGGACCCCCGCTCTCCAGGCGCTCCCTTTCTGGAAGAGGGACAGACCCATAGGCAGACCCTCCGGGGGTCGTAGCAGTGGAARTAGCAAGTGAGAGGCCTCCAGAGGATGGTGTGTGCGCCGGGACCGGGTGATGTAGCAGAGGTAGTGAGAARTGGGTTTAAATTCCGGATTTTTTCTTTTTTTGTACCTGGGATTGAACTCAGGGGCACTTGACCACCGACCCACATCCCCAGYCCTATTTTGTATTTTATTTAGAGACAGGGTCTCATCGAGTTGCTTAGTACCTCGCCGTTGCCGAGGCTGGCTTTGAACTCACGATCCTCCTGCCCCAGCCTCCCAAGCCCCTGGGATGATAGGCGTGCGCCACCGCACCCTGCGGGTGGGGGCGGGGGAGGAATTGATACTGAGGATCGAACCCAGGGGCTCTACTGCTAAGCCACATCCCCACTCCTTTTTTTAAAGAAAAAAATATTTTTTAGTTATAGGTGGACGCAATATCTTTATTTTATGTGGTGCTGAGGATTTGAACCCAGTGCCTCACGCATGCTAAGCGAGCACTCTACCTCTGAGCCACAACCCCAGCCCCCAACTCCTTTTTAAATTTGAGACAGAACCTCACTAAATTACCAAGGTTCTTCTGAATTGTTGAGCCTGGCCTCAAGTCTGTGATCCTCCTGTTTCAGTCTCTAGGATCATAGGCATGTACCACTACACCCAGCTTGTAGTAAGATTATGATAGAAGGGAGAGAGAAATTGGGGACAGTGAAGTTGAACAGCTTTGTCACAGATTTTGCACCAAGAGAGCACTTGGGATTAGGATTGTRGAAGGGAGGAAAAAGAAAAGAAAGGTGGGTTTTATTGTTGGGTTTGTTGTGGGGTTTGGGGGGTTTTGTTTGTTTGTTTGTTTTTGGTATTGGGGATGGAACCCCAGGGCTTCATGCATGCTGTACACACTACCACTGAAGTGTATTCCCCAGTTTCAAATAAGTTTTTTGTTTTGTTTTGTTTTTTTAAGGTGGGGATATAGTTGGCTGCAGTGGTGCATGCCTATAATCCCAGTGACTTGGGAGGCTGAAACAGGAGGATCACAAAATCAAAAACAGCCTCAGCAACTTAGCAAGACCCTGTCTCTAAATAAGATATTTTTAAAAAAGGGCTGGGAATGTGGCCCAGGGGTTGCACCTGGGTTCAATTCCGGGTTAAAAAAAAAAAAAAAAGATGAGGAAATAACTATGTTTAAATGTAATTCAGGGCTGGGGATGTGGCTCAA